CATCCCTCGTTTCGCGAACAGGTTGGCCACCGACACCTTGGATGAATGGCTTCAAGCCCGGGCGCTGAGAGACGACGCGGAGACGCGGCCTAGTTTGGAGTGAGAGCAACGACGGAAGTGAAGCGCACTTACCAGTAGAGGACAGTGTTTCTTGACATGACTTTTTCATGGTGATGTTCTGCATCATTTCATTAAGAAAAGAAAACCAGAGATTCAGGAGGTATTTTGGAGAATCCAGTTCGCCAGTTCTCAATTCCACTATCAGACTCACATGATCTGTTCACCTTGGACTGGTGGTATGTTCAAAGAAGCAGGGGCCCAACTGCTTGGGGATTGCTCGACTCTGCGAAAAGACGGGCCTTAAACGCCCGGGGTGTCCTTGTCCTTCCAACACGCCGAAGACAGACGAGACGTCCGCCGTCCGCCGTCCGCAGACCTGGCGCCCCGTCCGAAGACCTGACACTGGTGCATTGGGCTGTTCCTGGGACTCCAGGTGAACTCCAGACCTCAAAAGGATGCTGAATCAGGCCATCGAACCCATCAAACTCCCCCGGTGATTTCGCACGCACCGACCCCCAGGGCCCGCCAGGGCCCCAGGGGTCCACTGACCTGGTGCACACCGGGTTCCGACTGGGCCGACCGAGGTCCAGAGAGCCTGGATGTATCTGGAGCCTCGGAGGGCGGTCGACGCCGTCACCCAGAAGGGGCTGGGGCCGGGACGAGTGACACCGCAAGGCCTAGGGAGGCAGTCGACAAAAAGGAAGACGTGAGGTGAAAGAAGCCTCGGTTTTCGGCAAAGTTGTACTGTAGTCGTTTTTCTTTTTTTTTTTGGGGCGGGTGTCTTTTTTTATTTTTTCGAGTCTTGTTGGTTCGTTTGGCTTTTATTTTTATTGGGTCTCAATTCCGATGGCTCATGATGGTCATCATTCAGCACAGTCCTGGCTTCAGATTATTCTTGGCAGGTCGTCTTCCGCATGGAATGTCGGCATGTCATCACTATTAGATTGATTAAACAAGTCCCTAATTTCATGGTTGAGGAGTTGATGGAAATCGTGCGGATTCAGCTGGCTCGGGCGTTCGAAGCTCCCGTCATGGTCGGGTTGATGGTGCCTCACAAAGTCACCAGGTTGAAGCTCCGGATCAACAGCCAAACGTCAATTGGTATTGAGTCATTGATCATGTTCCCCCAGGGACTCCCAAGTCCATGAAGCCAAGTCCAGTCCATGAAGCCAAAACAGCAGACATAGGCGCAGACTGGCGTAGGTGGCTCAGGTTCCTGTTGGCCAACGTTGGCTGAAGAGCGCATCTCCCGGACATTGGTACCCTCGTGCTTCGCAAAGGAAAGTATCTTCTCCGCGGAGGTGTCTGTGCTGCAGGGGACCGTGCAGTGGACATGGTGGTTTTGGCATTCTGCTGGTGATCGGGGCAAGGGAACGTCACGCCACCGAGCAAGGGGAACATGGTGGTTTTGATCTAAGGAAACTCTCTAATGGATGGCTTTGTAGGGTTTGTCTTTGGGAGAGGATATTCTTTGATTGAGATGGCGGTGTTTGGGCAACAACACTCGTGTCCGTTTCTCCATCTAACTTGATGGATTGGTCGATCAAACCCAGGTTCCTGGGCGGGCAAGTCCCATTCTGCGGATGCACTGACTGTTGTGAGGATCCGAAGTACGGCCAGGGGCAGTGTGGACACGGAACCTAGCGAAGAGAACAAAGCACTGATGAGTTGACTAGATCCATCTTCAGAAAGGGGATCCCATCTCGTTTGGTCTGCCCAATCTTGATGTGGAAGGTGCGAGCACAGAGAGAGAGAGAGAGAGAGCGAGCGAGCGAGCGAGCTTTTGACAGATAGACAGATAGATCGATCGATCAATAGAGCAGCTACTTCACGATACTGAGCGATTCGTTGCTTTTCGCCGCATCTTCTGGTACTTTGTGCGCGTTTCCAGATGTCTTGGAGCGCGCTGCCAGGATATCCAGCGTCAGCTGCCCACGGAGAGTGCGAAGTTCAAGACAGTGGACAAGTGGGGGAACTCGGCTCACGAAGGGACGATCTAGCCTCTAGACTCTAGATCCATTTCCTAGTTTCCCTAAAAATCTAGGAACCAAACCATTAGTGCGAGCGCTTCTTATTCCTTGAAGAAGCGTGAGCTATCCTGCGTCCTAAGTAGTAGCTACTTAATCTACTAGCTAACTCTTCTACTCGCTACCTAGCTACTACCTCTACGGCCTACTCCCCCGGGGCTTTGTATATATTAGTTGAGAGGAGCGGGCTAAACAATAGAAAACAATTTCTTCTTTTTTGGCTCATCAACGGTCAACATCATCGCATGCATACAAAAGAACCCTTTCAGACGTCTCAACGACTGGTTTTTTGATGTCCTTCAACGAAAGCCGGCCATGGCCGATCCCAAAGGAGGCAAACGAGTATCGTTGGGAGACTTCCCAGGCGTTCCGATCCCCTGGAAGGTTCGGATAGACCAGTCTACCCAGCGACCAGGGGCGATCGGGGGATCTCCCGCAGTGTTTTCACGCTCAGATCCTGCATACGCGCTTGACGCGCAGTGACATTCACCCGCAAGTTGGCGTTCGATAGATGCGCTAGGTGATTGAGGATCAATTCAGATGTGCACTTTCTGTGAGGGAGACACATCAACAGAAGGGGCGTCTTACTGTCGACTGCGGACTTGGTCGGTTCCAACTAAGGGCGTGCCAGTCTTGGAACATTCTGTTTTGAACTACAAATTATCCCGGCAAGAGACCCCAACAGTGTGTGTGTGAGGTCTATAAGCAGAAAGTCTAGAGATCTAGACGCATTGGGGTCCAGAGAGGTGATGGTGGTGATGAAGGTGGGGATCGTGGTGACGGTGGCGATGGTGGTGAGTGAGTGTGAGTGTGAGTGAGAGTCGGAGAGTGAGTGTGAGTGTGAGTGTGAGAGTGAGAGTGAGAGTGAGAGTGAGAGTGCGAGTGCGAGTGAGAGTGAGTGTGAGTGAGAGTGAGCCACATGCCCAAAAGTCATGATTCACTGCACCTGTCACGAAATCTGAGCTCCTCGACGATCACCACCATGTCCAAAGTGCTGCACCTGCCACGAAAACTGCAGTTCGAAGTAAAACAGCTCCGATCCCTTGCGCCTGTCACGAAAAGTCGACTTTGAAGCACCAAAGCACGAGGTTTCCCTTGCGCCTGCCACGAAAAGTGACCACTATGTACCAAAATGGGAGCGGCGCCGCAATGAGAGCGCAGTCGTTAGAAGCACCCGTCGCGGCCACCCAGACTTTGTGAGCCGACGCAGTCGAAGTGCACCTCGACGATGTCGAGAGGCATGAATGTACTGTAAATAGCAGCGAATTTGCCGGTCACGGCCGCGCGCTTCAGCCATCTAAGCACCAGCTAGCTGCTTTTCCAGTACCGTAAGAACCCCTAGTGTGTCCACACTGTTTGGGGAAAAAGCCAAAGCAGCACCGTCCGACCGGGTGGTTAGACTGGTTTTCTCCAGTAGGTGCAGGGACTGGACTCGAGATGGAAGTCGTGTTCCTGGACCGAACATGCCTCAGGATTTATGAATTACACTCTGACTCACTGACATGTAAGCAAGGGGCCATGCCCTCCACTTCCATGTTGGGGGTTGTTGGTTCCACTGGTAAATAACTTACTCTAAGAGCCAGCTTGTGGACCAGGGCTTCGCAAACTTGTGCACCCCATAGCTTGACTCCCCCCAGCTCGGTGAAATCCCCTAGTAGCTTCTTGTTACTAGCAGCTTCTTGTTCCTAGTAGTACGGCCAGGAGCCCCTAGCAGCGTCCTTGCTCCTAGTAGCGATGCCAGGAACCCTTAGTAGCGAACCTTGTTACTAGTATGTTCCTTCGTCCTTTCAACTGACTTCAACTGCCATGATGTCACTTCGCTTGTTCATGATGTCACGTTTCGACTCCCCCAACAACGGCGCCACGTGGGCCCCACGCGGGGAGGTCATGGAAAGATTGGTTCAAGAAGGCGAGGTTTTTGGGCCGATTTGGAGCCGGATTTTCCCAACGAGGGGACCCAGGGGGACCCGAGGACGAGCGGCTCGGCGCCTGGATCAACGAGGGGACGGACGATGAACCTGATTTTGCGTAACATGAGTTTTGTTTTTCAAGAAGGGGATGGATGATCGGTATGATCAATCGTTGGCACGGCAGTTGCTAGGCAAATGCGGAGCAATGTTGTGGGATGATCCACATGACCGATCTTTTTTTCCACATGTCGATGGGATGGACATGGAAAGCCACTCACCAAACTCACTCGACTTTCCATGTCCTTTGGGGAAGCAGTAATTTTTGACCATCCCACATTTTTGGGCAGTGGTGATGGACATGGATGGACACCACGTTCGAGGTGCCTAAAAGAGGTCTGTCTCATTGTTTTCTTAAAAACCAGCTGCTTCCAAGGGGTTTATATCATGAATTGACCACCCCACACGACTTGTAAGTCTCCATTGGACCAGTTAGAAGCGGAACAAGCTCCCACGACTGCGGGGAGACCCACCGCCGATGCGACGCTCGAGAACGGGCCGCAGGTCCGGCAGTCCTATACCAAGGCGATGGAAGCGTCGGGATGCCCAGAGTTTCCGGCTGGTGTCGGATTTTTCTGGCCGTTCTCCTTGCAGAAAAACGAAGCGGGCATTGGCAGGAACTGGGTGTAACTTGGAACTGGAACCCTCAAAACAGTCCAGTTTCGAGATTCAGAAAGCCCCAAAGGTGTCGGTGATGGGCTGGTCAGGGGGTGACCACGACTCGCACTTTAATGCAAGACTGGATGCGGATGCTGGAGACGGATGGTTCAGCAGGGTTTTAACAACCCTCTATAATACATATGTTTATATATGTTTATATATGGTTTTGGTCTTAGTGAACCTGTCCATCGCCCATCTTCGATTGACCTCTTGTTCGCTCACCCCGGAGAACTTCCACTGGGCAGAAAAGACAACCTGTTCAGAACTGATCTGCTCACACCACTCTGCTCAGGCTCAAGCTAGATTGCTTCCAAATCTTTACTCCCATCTCTCTCAAGACTGAATCCATTGGATTCGGCCGTTCTCTTCAGACTCCTCCGTCTGTTTTCGTCATAAACCACCGGCCAGTTGGATTCAGAGGCCCAGGCGCCGGCCCGTGATGGATGTGGTGGATCCAGGGCGGTTCCGCCTGGAACACCAGACGAGCAGGGTGGACCGGGGCAGCGAGCCCTGTGAGGTGACCGTGACGCGCGTCTTCTATGCTCGCAGTGAGGAGAACAGGGACCCTGGGGGCCCTGGACTTGACCTGTGGTTTCGACGATGTTCCGAGGACCATGTGGTTACATGTGGCTTGGTTCCATGTGGTCCGAATCGCATGGGAAAGAGAAAGCCCGGTTTAGCCAGAATCTGTTTTTCTTTCATCATCGTCCTTTTTGCGACCGTTCCAGGATGCCCCAGGAGATCCCTGAAAGAGAGAAGGTATTTACATGCTTTATATTTGGGTTGGCCTTGATGAATCAATCCTGGAGGGTGGGACTTGATGAAGAGCTCCATCGCCTTCATGAGGTCAATCTTTGAACCGCAAGGGACTGACCAAGGACGACCACCAAGTCGCTGCCCCCCGATCCTCACGACCGTCGTGGCGTGAGCTCACGTCGCTTTCGAGGAGGAAGAGATCTTGGTCTTTTCGAAGGATGATGAGCTCTACGAGGGTCGTGGTGGCGCAAGACATGAAGCATCTCTGGATGAGACTGGCCTGACGATAATGCAGGAGAAGATCAATTCGGATGGAGAAAGCATAGGTGGGAGATGGGAGCGAAGAGCCAAGGGCCACTAGAGTTCAGAAGGGGTGTGTTTCTTAGGTGAAGCCCTGCTTTTCTTCATGGGTGACCATGAGCAGCCTGAATCACAAACATTTAAACACCCATTCTGTGCAACCTCTGGCAGTCCTTTGTGGTTTGAACCCCTGTTCAGAACACTTGCTGGAGAGAAGCAGGACACACTAGGTCCAACTACTTCGAAGGTTTGGGCCACTTCCAGGCCTTGGACGCACCGTTGGGCGCCTTCGCACCCACCAGAAACGCCGCGTGGCACGCGCCGCGTGGCAAGCACCCCTCCAACTGTGCCAGGTAGCTTTGAGCCCTTCAAGCTTCCGTTCAGCGCTCTGCTGCCCAAAACACCTCGTGATGGACCCAGTCCCTTCGACGAGCTGGAGAGTGCATTGGACAGCCTCAAGAAGCTGCCGAAAGAAGGACCGTGATGAGCGAGCGGCACAGGGAGGGTACCGGAGAATATCGGTATCCTCTTTGGGCTCCGTGTCCGAACTTAGGACAAGACGGCGAACTAGAATGAGAAGAGGGCTTCAAAGGACAATTTGACAATTTGAGAGAAGAGGGCTTCAAAGGTCCTGGTTCAGAGAATCACTTCAGAGTCAAAGACTTGACGTTGATTTGAGTTTGTGCAGCTGTTGGTACCTTCAAAAGAGATTTGTTGCAACTCTGGAGACCGTTGCCTCAACTCTGGCTCTGGAGACTCCGGCTCATTCATCAAAGAGCCTCATGGGCGGCCCACGGCCTGAGCTACTCAATCTTTTGTGTGATACCTCAGTGAGACAAGCTCTTCAAGGGTGTTCCCTTTCTATCTTACATATAGTCTTAGTTGCCATACTGCTCACTACTTACCTGCATCTATATGTTTGTTGACAGCCATTCCTGTGGAAGCTGCACATTGGAAAGCACTGTTCCTTGATGGAGCCATTCCTGCTTCAATTGAGAGTGGAGGCATTTTCCAACTCTGCAACTACGACCATGCCAACAACAAATCTAGAGTCAAAACAAAGACAGCCTCAACCGATGTGCACACAACAGCCATGGAGCTACCAAGGGAATGTGTTTTGGGATCTTCTGCAGTGCTGAACACTAAATTGCCATGCATGGGTGGTTTTAAAACACATCCCTGACTATGTAGTTTCCATCTAATAAACACCCGACATCCGTGGCGCTGGAACTTGTTTGTTCGATTTTTCCTTTCTTGCCTCACTTTTCCGCCGCATGACCTCCTGGGATGAGCTCTTTCAAGCTGCCGCGGGCGCTGCGCCTGATGTGGATGAGTTCTATGAGGAGTATGGTGCTGCGCCGTCGGTGTCAATCGCCGGGGGTGGGGATGATGCTTCGGAGGCTTATCTTGGAAAGAGGAGCAAAGGAAAGGGCAAGGGGAGAGGCAAAGGACGAAATCGCAAAGGCAAGGGCAAGGGCATGGAGACTGATCCCGCCGATATAGAGGTGGTGTCTCCTTCGAAATCGGTGGAGTCGGAGGCAGAGAATTCTCAGGCTGAGGACCAAGAAGAGGAGGTACGAATACAGGATGGTGAGTCCTTCGCTGAGGCGTGCTTCGCAGCAGCTCTGGAACATGATGAGCAAGAGCGTCCACCTCGTGCTCGAGGTCGAAAGTGGTATTGGAAACGGAAGAATTGACCGCCAACGAAAATGGCCTCTGGGACCTCAATCTGCACCCCTCAACATCCTGTCGAAGGACTTCTTCATGGCCCGGCCCTTAAAGCTGGTGCCACCTTGCAGCCTTCTAGCGATGGATTCTCATCCCTCGAGTGGAAACACAAAAAGGACGCCGGCCCGTGGCGAGCGCCTGCACATGGTGTTTTCGACTCACAACTCCCGATGTCTGCAGACCGTCTGGGCCGGTCCTGACCGGTTCCGGTCTGTGCCATCTGGCCCGCTCAGTCCACCAGACTGAGAGGTGGATCCGGGGCAGATGATGGGACCCAAAGGTCTGAGGGATCCCACAAACATCCCCAACAATGGTTGCACCAGTGCAAGATCCGTGGCCTACCAAGTCAGTGGGCCACCTGATCTAACGCATTCTTTTGAATTGGTTTCTGTTTTGTATGGTCAGGTTAGCTCTGAGTAGAGGACTGCCAGAGGTTTTTGGAAGATTGGGCATCAATCAGAAAGGGTCTACTCTTCTAGAATATTCCAAACTGGACTTGCTTGGCATTCGTGAAGTGGGTGGGTAGCACCCCCTCCAAAGGTGCTTTTCGGCTTGATAAATCCGCTGGGCTCCAAGGCTTCATATCCCTAAGCTGCTGGAAGGCGTGGAAGCGTCTTCCTGGTGAACCTCTGCCGGTTGTACGCTCGTCGGTTTTGTTGTGTGGATTGAAGAGTCGAGCTGAGCGCGTACAAGACTCTTTACTCTCACAGATGGTGAGACTCTAGTGGTGAAGGGGTTAGTTTGACCAGTCGGCCACCTCCAGTGTGGGATTCCATAGGCCCATAGGCCCTCAGATTCGGGCAGATGCCTTTTGAGGAAACCGAACGGAACTGAAAGAACCAGAGTTTGGAAGGAGGATTCGAACGGACAGGGTTGTGGAGGCCGGGAGAAAAACTCTCTCTCTCTCTTGCAAGCGACGTAGCCACGGGCAGTTGCTGATTGAACCTGGACATGTTTTGGGCTCGGCTCGCCGAAACCGTCTCGACCACGTCGACGTCTCGACCGGGTGGGAAACACCGCACCCTTCGCCGGTGCGAAACACGCGAAACACCGCGCGCGGGGGCCCGCGGCAGCTGGTCCAATTTTGAGCTCAAGCCGCCGGTTTTGGACCGGCTGAGCGAGTGGGAAGACAGGGGTGTGTGCCGAGGTGTGCCGCTTGAGGTGCGCTGGGGGAGCAGGGGAGCCGGGCCGACTGTCACGAGTGGACGAGTGTGAAGAAGCGGATTTGATGAATCATCAAATCCGCTTCTTCACACTGAAACAGAAGTTCTAACTGTGGATGCTGATAGGAAAACATAAGGCAATTTGGCAAGAGCCAAGTGGTTCGATCTCCAAAAAGGCCTGTCCCCAACACCTTGAACCGTTGAGAACTTTAGACCAATGACAAACCCTTTAGGGTGGTAGCCTCATTCCTTGCTTCGATCCACGCCTGACGGTCTTGGTTCCGCTTCCTCACGCCATGTGCCGCGACGGCAAGGACGGGGCATAGCAAACGGACTTATAACAGGTTGACACTCCATTTTGGACCCCAGAGAGGCCCCATAGAGACAAGATATGACTAGGGTATGTCACGGTATGTCCCAGTAAACCAGTAAAAAAGTCACACTCAATTTTTCAGAGAACATCACCCTAGTTGAGATGTCGGTTGCTGCACCTGAACCATCAGCCGCCAGATGGTGGGCCCTGGTAACGGGATAGACCCAAGATATTTCTACTGCAACTCCACTGCAACGACCATTTGGGTCTCGGGTGGCTCCGGTTCCACCGTTCCCTCGGCAGGTGCCATGTCGATGCAAAGCCCGGGGGCCCAGACAGATGGCCGCTGCGAGGAAGCGCCTTTAGGGCTCGGCTTGCTTTCCTGCGATTTTACGAGGGTGACAAATGATCACCATGGATGAAGGGCAACTCAAATGCAACTCAATGCAGCTTTTGCCCTCGCATCCAAGATGATATATAAATGACCCAACACTTCACTTTGTAAGAAGCCGTTCCATGCCAAGCAATGACCTCTCCCTAGCAGTTACCTTTCGAGCCTCCAAACTGCCACAAAAAATGGAGAGGGACAGCTCCGCTTTTCTGCTTTTTACGAGCCGGTGCTCTGCAAGCTTCGCTTTTCGCTCGTGTCTCTGCTGGCAGAATTCCTTTTTGGCTACCCCCTTTAAGATGGACCGCGAACATGGACCCCCCAAAAGATCCCCAAAAAGACAATCCAGGACCATGAGTGATTCTTTTTCGGGTCCACTTGTCTACTTTCTAGCACCCCACATATGTGGAAGGGCTTAGAGGGGCAAGCCGTCAGACAGTTTGCAAGTGAGTGTGGGTCCACTTCTGGTTTTTGTCGACATGTTCGCTCCTTCACAGGTGGAAGCTTCAGATTCTTGAACCTCATCAAGCCCGTGACCTGCGTCCTCCCAGAGGTCGAAGCTCCGGACCGCCGGGCGGTCCAGTGACTGGAGCGATCGCCGTTGATCTCTCTCCGGAGGGAGGAACGAAGAACTGAGGAATGGCCGTGCACGTTTGGAACTGGTTGGGGGTGAGCTGACACTTGGAAGGTTCATGAAGGTTCTCATATAGTCCTAGAACCTGGTCATGACCTCTATTTTGGACCACCAACCACTCAAAATATGGCCTTTTCCTATCAACACAGGGGTCAAATGGGCTCTAGGGTGTGTTTGGTGAGATGATCACCCTGAGCATTTTGAGCATATGTCGAGCTGGGCAAAGATGATTTTCTCAGTCGTGTCTGGTGTTTTCCGCTGTCACTGGAAGTTGCTGAAGCCTGTTTCAAGACCCTCCACATGTTTGGCTTGGAAGCGACTTCGTTATCTTCCTTCAAGGTCTGTGCCCACCGTGCAGGTCGACTGGCCTCACTTGTGGGACAAAAGCTAGCGGCTAGCGCTTGCGCTAGCCACCACCATTGCCTTGAGCAAATTGAACAGATCTTCCATGGTCTCTGCCCTGAACAGTTCGACCCTCCCCTGTCTTCTTCTTCGCGTCCTTCGTCTTCAGCGCTGAGGCCGCATCCCTTTCAAGGAGAAAGTCTTGTGCCTCGAACCGGTTGAACCATCGAGTCGCACTCGACGAGTCTTGTGCAGTTTGGATGGCTGAAACGATCTGGATGTGGCCCGGGTGTGGCCCAGTCAACCCGTCAGTCGGTCAAAGAGAACATCACTCTTTTGAGAGGTTTCCTCCTGCAACCGAACCATCAGCCGCCCATTTGGAACCTACGAATTCGGCTTTCTTTGGGGTCAAAGTGGAACATTCTTTTGGGAGAACAACAAGAATTCTTCTAACCCTGTACCATCTTGATCCATCTTGCACCCATAATCCTTTGGAAGACTTCCAGAGCCTCGGTTCACTTCCAAAACCCCTTCGGCTTTTCGAGAACCATGCACACCAGGGGATATTCAGGGATGTGGCATGGTGTGGGCATAGACTCAAGGGAAACACCTGGTATTTTCACTTCTCGCAGCGACTCCAGTCTGAGGGTGTTGAGCTATAGCTCCACACGGAGGGTGGAATGAAGGTCCACAGTTTTTTGGTGGGATGATTCCCGACCAGTCTGACCAGAGAGTCTCTCCGCGCAAGACAGGGTGACTCCCTGGCATTGTGGAGCTGTTGCCGGGTTCGAAGAGGTGCTGAAAAGGGACCTCCTTCCAGTGTTTCGCCGCAGCAGCTTTGGTTGGAGGCTACTAGAGGCAGATGTTTCATGATGTTCAGCTTCGCTTGGATTCATCTTGCTGAGGTGGACGTCGATCTCTCTCTTCGTCTTCTTAGTCTGTTGCCAGATCCCGCTCTACGGCGTGTTGACCTCCAAGAGCTCTTTGGCGATGTCTGGTGCAAAGCGAGGGCAAAGCAAAATGCCATGAGGGGGAGTTTCCGCGGTTCCGACAATGCCCAATTTGAGCTGATTTCCTGCTGGCCACCAGCAGGTTTACGATGGTTTACGATTAACATCATCCTTTCTCAAGATGTGTCTTTTTCTTTATTTTCCCCTTTGTCTCTGGATTGGATGGAGAGAGTAGACACCAGGGCGTACGATGTGAGGAGCGACATTCTTCTTTGGAATGGCTTTGGCTCCATCTAGTTGGGTGGAGGCACTTCCTGTATTTAGTGGCGGACAAGTCCTTCTCAATGCCCGGTCTTCGGCACAAACCCACCCCGTGGGATTAGCAACTCATGCTCCGATGTGAACGATTCTTTTGCTTGTGGTGACAAGCCATGAAATGCCGCCACCGACGAAGAGAAGGTGTGGTTCATTGAAGACAAGAGAAGGGTGGAGGATGCTACTAGGGCTCCTGGCCTTACTACCAGGAGCAAGGGCGCTACTAGGGGCTCCTGGCATGGCTACTAGGAGCAAGGACGCTACTAGAGGTTTTCTGGGGTGATGTGCGAGTGAGCCGAGTCAGCAGACACTGCATATCCGCATGTTTCGGATCACTCCCACATCAGAGGATAAACGAGAAGCACATGTTAACACCATTTAAAACCCATTTTTGGGTGATCCAATCTGAAGCCAAACCGAGTTGATATTTTGTCACCGTTAAAACCGTTCGTTTGGGGAAGATCTTGGCCCCTGTTTGGAACCACCTTTGTTGGCTGTGAAGGGATGGATGACACAGTCATCCAAGAGTGTCACTGACATCCGACCAAGAGATGGGTGTGTATTTCAATAGAAGAATCCCCTGGTGCATTGATGACCCCAGTTGATTTTCTTGTTATTTTGGTTTTATTCGACTCGCTCGTGGTGAGCGACCAATGCGACCGGACGAGGTTCAGACCCCTTCTACTGGATGCGTGTCATCCTGGCCTCGAATCGAGGGACTTTAATGGAGCGCCTTGGGCCTTCGGTCGGCTGGAAATGAGAGAAGGTCTAAACGATCAGGGATTTTATTGCATGGGTATGGGTATAAATCATCTTGGGTGAATCAGAATATGGACACAGGTCCAACTATGACTATGTTCCATCATGTTCCAATCCATCTTGGAGTCACCTGCAACATGCTTCCGTCGTGTCTGGGTGTCGTCGGGTCACCATGGGTGACATATGGCGACACAACAGTGCCCGTTCGACGCCCGTTCAACAGGAGCCCACGACGTGACACGCGTTCTTGCAAGTTTTTCTTTGGACCTTTGCGTCCACACAACGTTTATTCTTTTTCGTTGCTTCACTGCCTATGAAAGGCCGTGACGGACAGGGACCGCAAGTCGCGCGATTCTTTTCCTTTGGATTCTTTGGACCCCCTTTTTTTCCTCTTTGAGTCAACAACATGTATTATGTATTGTACGTGGTGAGTGTTTCACGAATCTATTGGTTTAGATGCCAGAATGAAATCTTGTGCATCTCAGACATGTGATGGCTTTTGGGCCCAGAAACTCCGTGAGGGTGTTTGGTAGACGATGGTAGACTGGTCCATGTCCCGTTCTATCGACTCATCCGACCGGACGAGACTGGTCCATCTTTCCGTCCTGGTTGTTTTTAGAGTGGCCTGGAAGGAAGCAGAGTCGACCACGTGTATCTGGCTCTTTTTATTTTATTTTTCTGGTCCTTGTAGTTTGGAATGGAACGTGTTGCATTCAAACCACAGCGAATGGTCTTTGTCAGGGCCTACAGCCCTAACCTGCACAAGTGACAAGTGCTTGAGAGACCACTTCATCACTAGAGATATCGTTCTAAAAGGCTCTTCTCGTACCGAAGAACCATGAAGCTCCTTTGGTGGCGCAAAAAAAGGGCCTACATTCACCAAAATCATCAAACATCCACCAGTCATGTAGGCCATCTTTGTGCCAACCTCGAGCATCGAACAAACCGCATCACCTCTCGAGGCTGGGTATCTCGCCCATCATTACCTCCGGCATGGCTCCTTGGCGCATGGCTGCTCGCTTCGTGACGGAGCGGAGCTGGTCACCCGGGGCAAGACGAGGAAGCACCGGGAAAAAGTGCCGTCGGAATGCATCTGAATTCCACCAGTTCTCGCGGTTTAGAAGCATAGACCCCTTTTCAGGTTTTGTCATGTTGATGCTTTTGAAGAAACACAAATACAGGTTAGAAAGTCACCCCCTCCTCAACATCTATGAGGTCTGATTTTAAGGACAGGACCCGACCGGATCGGAAGGCACCATTTGTTCAATTGGCAGCTTCCCACACCGGCGCCAGCCATGCCAGCCATGCAGTTTCACCGACGGCTCCAACCAATCATCTGTCGCTTTGCTGAATCGGACCAGTCTGGATGCATGTCCCGTGCTTCTATAGGCTCCTGGATGGAGGACTAGCTGCTAGTAGCGCTAAAGGCCATTGCTAATATGACATGTTTTTCTGTGTTGGGCCTCTCCCACATTCAATTGATGTCCTTTCGAATCGTTTGGGCGGATGTGAACAGGTGATGCAACTCTTGGCTGGCAGCAGGCGTTTATCAGTCGCCCTGTTTGTTCAGACAGTGGGCAGTTCAGGGCGCCCAAGGGGAGGCGACCTTCTGAACGGATGCAGATGCGGCTACTCATTTGCTTGACCAAAGATACTGTAGATCTTGCCACAAGAAAGTTTGGGGCCAACCAGAACCAACCATCAAGTAGATGACACTCAGGCAGTTTCAATTTGGCTAGCAAGACAAGAAGACGACTGACACCAAGACACGCAGTTGGGCAATCAGAGCAGTTGGGCAAGCAAACATGCCAAACAAACCTCATTTTCTCAACCCTCATGCGGTTTCGCCCAAAGCTCATTTCGGTGCCGTCCGAGAGGTTCTGCGTCTTCTTATTCCCCTCTCCAATGTCTCCAACATGGTTTGGGTTAAAACAGAACAGAACAGGCGGATGGACAGGAACAGAGCTTATATAATGGTGGTTGGGACTTCGGGACCCTCAAATCCATTTCTGGCTGGTGGTTTTCATGAGTATTTTTATGTTCAACCTTTACATGGGATGATTGATCCGACTTCTATTTTTCCCGAGGTGAAATTGACCATCAAAAAGGGTCCAAACAGGACCGCGGCTAAGAGGGGGTGGGGGTGGAACTCAACCCCAATGCCACCCCTTTCCATGGCGTGGTGCTGCTTGCATCCAGTTTTGGGGGCGTTTCGCTTGGTCTGTGGTGACAGGATCATTGATGTGGACATGACTTTGAAGGAGGATCGTGCGCTCTTCCATGGCGCCCAGAAGTTGCCACCCGGCCGTGTTTTTAGTTGTTGGGTGACCCTGCGGGGAAGCTTGTATGGATGTGGCGTGGTTGGTGTGGGAAGAAAACAAGCAGGTGATGGAGGATGCCATGTTGTGTGTGTGGGTTACTGTAAAAGACATTTTCATCATACAGATGACCTGGTCCAGTTTGGGTTCGGCAACAGTCCGTGGCAGTCCAAACAAACGAAGCTTCTGTTGAGAAAAACTGTTCGAGGAGTTCCAAAGGGATGGTGTGTGGACCGCACGGGATGGATGTCAACAATGATATCCAAGACCAACACATTTTCTTTAAAAAGGGGAGAGCCAGTGATGCCAGTGTAGTGTAGTCATGTGACGGACATTTCGTCCGGAGTCCAGACTCCGATAACGCAGTGACTCTTCTCACTGATCCCTTCCCTGTTACTGTTGGTGACCGGTGGTGATGGTGGTGACCTTGCAGTCCCTGAGGTTTGGCATGCTGATCACCATGGGAGAGGCGCTTATCTCCACGCGCGCGTTCTTTTTTACATGCGGGAAGAACATGTGCGGAGCTGGTGCCTGGGCGGTGCCGGGTTATTGGGCCCCGGCCATGCGTTGAATTTCTATCAGTTTCTCAGATATTGAACAGAACACCACAGATGAGTCAAATCTACAGATGATGACACAGAGACCATGCTTGACTCAAGCATGTTGTGCAACTACAAGTGCACGCATGTCATGTCACATATCCACAAACCTTCAGCCGTAACTATCAACAGCCAGGAACCTAGGGGCTACAGATGCATACATATATGATTACTGTATATATTATAACTTATATCACCGATGTATGGTTTATACGTTAGACTATATCATAGACTTCCATACATCCTACATCATACATATCGTATCTTCCACCTTTGGAGGCCATGTCAGACTTCAATCCAACGGACGCTCCGTCGCCCCCCCCCCCGCGGCGCGACGTCGGACACCGCGGAAACCGCTCCAGGCCGTGGCGTACGTGATGAGCGGCATGTACGGGAGCCTTCGTGAGATTGGCTCCTTGGGAGCGACCGGGTCCAACCACCCACCACCCGGTCCAACGGCCAAAACGGAGAACCAATTGGGGTTCCAGGCTGGATGTACTCCTGGGGAGACCCAAGCACCCCCAGATACAGAGACGTCAGTCGCATACAGTTTGTGGATGGATTGCACTGTATCTATTTGTTTTCGGAGTTTCCTTTTTACAGCCAAGCACTCGGATCGACTTTGTCGTGTAAAGAAAAGACACCCCCCAAAAACGGATGCTAACCTCTGCCACTTTCGTTTGTACGACACCGAAAAGCGCATGATCACAGCCCCGCAGGGGTTCGCCGAGCCTGTATCGGTGTCCGCCTTTCCGTAAAGATAAACAGTCAGAAAGGAAAACGGTAGTAACAAGAAGCTACTAGTAGCTCCTGGCATTACTACTAGGAACAAGAAGCTACTAGTAACAAGGGCATCGCTACTAGCAGCAAGGACGCTTAAAAGTAACTAGGGCACCGCTGATCCGAACCCAGAAAGCCTCTCTGCAAAGATTCCGAGATTCCGAGATTCCTACCTCTCTGGGTGCTTTCCTCTCCTCTCGGGGTGCCACCTCAGGTTTTATGTGTGCGATCCTCATCATCATCCAGCTCTTCTTCGCCGGCGTCGTGGTGATTCTGCTGGATGACGCTCAATCCATTGGGTCCATGTGCGTCGATGCACATCGTGGAAGGTGTCCACAGCATTGCATCAAAAAATACTTGGCTGTGGGTCCAAACCCGGACCCTCTGGACACCCAGTCAAATTGAAGAGATTCCTCCTTGTTCAAGGCATGTCAACCTACCATGGGTTTGGTGGGTGTGCTTTGGATCCCCACTTGGTTCTGTCCCTTGATTTCACGATGCACAGTGGCGCACACGCAACCTCGACACTCAAACACTTCCCATCTGCAACCTCCAGAAGACCCACCGAATACAGTTCTTGTTGGAGTTCAACCCCCCAATCACCCGACCCCAACTTGCTGGGCAGACAGGTGGAACAAACCAAACATGCGGCATGGTCACCCCCAAGGGCGCGCCGAAGCGGGTTTCCCCTCTTGGTCGCCGCCAGCTATGGCAGCTGCTAAGGAGTTGATGCAGAAGGGCTATGGCATTGGCTCAGGAATCTCGCTCTTCATCGCCACCAACATCTGCGAGAGTGGCCCAGTCGGAGAAAACCACGAACCCGACCGCTCGGTGGCATGTTCTGCGTTGAAGCTGATGGTTTTTGGAAGATGTGAGCAGCCACTTTTCAAGTGGCAGATGGAAGTTCTCTTCTGGGAGGGAAGGAGGCGAGTTTGTGTGGTTTCATCGAGTTGCCAGGTCCCAGTTGACTTTTCGGATCACTGAGTCCAACGGCACTGATCCGTTCGTCCCGTTGTCTTGACTTTGACCTTCAAGAAGCGTCCTGACAAGTGCTGCTTGCAGGCTACTGGGTGTAGGAGCTTCACAGGCCACGCAGTGTTGATGAACAACACATCTCAAACAGTCATGCAGCCTGCCGCCCATTGCACGGTGGCTCAGGTATCATTTGGAAGGCGTGAACCGACGTGTGTGGGGGGGCATTGGGGGATTTGGGACGTCGCATGTAGGGCGGGATGAGAAAAAGGTTATGTAGACCTTCCAATCAGTGTCCTCTTCTGTTTTGATCGCACCATAGGTGAAGTCTTTTTTCTTTGTCCACAGTTAGACGTTGGAGCCGCATCGCGCAGCATCGCGCAGCATCGCGCAGCTGTGGAGCCTGCAAACGAGCTCTTTTGTAGAGGAAATGATGCTTTTCATAGGGATCCGATTGTGATTTAGGGGTCCTTCTTGGTTTTCAGTTGTGCAGCGATAGAAAGCCCCGAATCGGGTTTCTCTTCCCTTCGGCCTCAGATCTGCCGAACGCAGGCCTTCTCTCCCACGACGATGAACACTGGCAAGGGTCTCCTTGGCTGAAATCACGATTCGTCACTTCAGTGTTTACGGAAGACTGGCTCACCCTGCTTCGATCTGCTTCGGCTTCGGCCCAAAACCCCGGTCCCCAGCAACGCACTCGTCTTCGCATCCGTTCGGTAGACGCCAGACCTTCCACAGACGCCAGACAGCCGCTATACCGGCGAACGTGTAGACCGAGGGGTCTTTCTTTAGAAATACGAATTCGACTTGATCCACTGGGTGTTTCGTTTCCTCAACAGTTCCTTCATGAAAACAGTTTTGCTTGTCTTGGGAGACCAGATCAATTGTCAATTCATGTAAATTCCCATGAGTTCCACATAATGCAGGTTGGGATCGACAAGAGCTTCGTGGCGGGAGCACTTGCCAGCCACATGCAACAATGTAACGCTGCTTTGGCTGTCTCCCTAAAACATCTCAACTCGAACACGGCTTCATTGAATGTACTGGTAGGCTGATTAACAACTATATGAAGAGGCCCAACACTCCAAATGAGGTGGTTTTCTTAGATTCATCATCAACAATAGTCTTCGACGACTCGTTCCGCACGTCGGGGTTTTCCCCAAAACCAACCTTCTGCGACTCGGAAAGACCCGCAGCCGCCGCAGTCGCGACGGTCGGGTGGTCCAACGGTGAGAATCGATTCGCCAGACTCTCACCAGGGCTGAACTGTAGCTCCGAAACATGCGGCCCGGTATCTTTTTTGGGGTTTTGGTTTTCAGATTCCTCCCGTCCCCAGACCAAACATACCCAAAAAAAACACCAAACACGTTTCTGGTTGAAACCCTGAAAACTGAAGCCCCGTTGCGACCCGGTGTCGCCCCGACCGTCCGCGACCGTCCGGTGTCATCCCGGTTGCGCCAAGGCACCGAATTTGAAGGGGCCATCGTGGCCACCTTCCACTTCATGGCCTCCAGGTCACTCGGCCCCCGGGCCTCTTTCACGCGGGCGTCGGGCGGTTGGTGTTTTTTGGGGCCGCGGTTACCCATTCATGGATGGTTTTCTTTTTGGAACGAAAGCCGGGGATAGGTGTGAACACCAGTCCAGGAACGAGTTGAGGATTTGGGGGGGGGAGTTGAGCCAATGTGAGCTAATTGGGAGGTGCGATCCGTTTTGGGAGTTCCTGTTTCGGAAGTCGTTCTCGCAGCGTCCCGCACGAACACTGGGAGATGCGTGGAGTCCTGAAAGACATGGCCATCCAATATGTCGAAGACATGGCCATCCCAATGACGAGAATGAGATTGCCAAGATTCATAGGGATTCCTACAGGAAGTCATTCTCAACTGTGAAAGAAACATCCAAAGCCAATGCAGATTTGCATGAAATTCTAGATATCAACAGGCTGGGCACCCCCAGCAATCTGGGGGAAGTGTTTGGCATCAATTCTCCACCTCCGACATTCGGAGCGACCCCCGCATTTGTTGGCGCTTGATCGATCAAGAGGTGAATGATTCCCACCAGAAACAACTTCCCCAGATGCATCAAATCCATTTTCTATCTTTTTTGGGGTAGGCCGCTAGTGGTCCTAGAGGATCTAGAGGTAGGTAGTAGCAAGGTAGGTAGCTAATAGAAGCTAGGTGCTGAAGTTAGTAACTTACTTAAGCTACGTACTAGCATGGACACAGGATAGCTCACGCTTCTTCAATAGAAGCTCCCCCCGCCTAAAAGCGGGGGGGAGCTTCCTTTTTTTTTGCTCTCAAGCCGCGACTCCGAGTCGGTGGCAACCCCAGCGCATTCCGCAGCTAGGGTCACTCGTAGCCATGACTACAAAAGGTTGTCAAACGGAATGCTCCAAGACCAAGGTGTTGCTTTGGCACCTTTGGCAAACGCACGAGCAAGCATATCCAATGCAGCATTCTCAACATACACTTCGGCGCCGAGGAAAGCACCCTTCGGAAAGGTCTTGCCGTTACTCTTGTTGCGTTTGTCGAGCAACAGAGGCGCGACCACGACCCTTTTCTTCTTGCAATAGGCAAAGCCCGAACGAATCAAGCTGGCGAAGGCTTGAGGCGTGCAAATGGTTCCTCGAGGCAGTTCAAACCTCCAACCACGTATAAATGCCACAACAGCCAACTCGAAGACTGAGCAAGCGAATCCATCTCCGACACGCCACTGCAAGGAGGCGCAAAAGCGTAGAAAGGTGCGGAAATTGTTCTCCGTCAAGGTGGATGTGGCTCGAAAGGGTAAATTAAGGTCAATGTCGGCCCGCCAAGTAAACAAGGCTTGCGAGATGTCCCATGGCCACTTGGGACACATCTGTCTAGCAGAGTACTGAAAAGCAGGCTCAGGGGAGACATGACCTTTGAAAGTACCGGAATCAGCAGGCTTTTTACACATTCTATTAAGCTGGCTCAACCAAAGCTGCCTGGCAAAAACATCATGCTCCATCAGGTGCAGCTCACGACTCGTCTCGTGTGCAAGTTGGGCAATATGCTGCTTAGCACAGTTGTCAGCCAGCCTATTGAGAATGATGTCCTGTCGAGAAGACCCAGCTTTAGTTGCCAACTCTTCCGTGAGTGCCTGGCTAGGAACGTGTTCCAGCAAATGAGCAGGGCACCAAAGCAATTGCAATGGAGAAGGGTGTAGCTCTTTCCGGTGAAGAAGCTGATCCAAAATGAAGCTCCACCAATTGGCATGGGTCCATTCAACCTGGACTGTCTCAGTTTGAAGCAACACCAGAAACTGCTTGACGATGGTAAGGGAATCCGTGTGGATTACCAACGGCTGTTCTGCTCTGGCAAAGGCGACCACAATGGCCCAAAGCTCAGCTGAATAACTGGACAGGCGCCAATGGCGGACCCGACCAACTGCTAAAATAGATTCATCAGCCGCAATGACAGCAAAGGATGCGATGGTCAGCCATGGGTAGGTTGTCAGTTGCACGGAGCCGTCCGTCCACACGTGTTGAACCTGCTCCTGCACAGCCGTCCACTGAAACACAGGAACCTCCGAAATGCTGGACACTTGCAGTTTATCGCGTATAGTGTCCAAAGGAAGCTCAACAATGCCCAGTGTGCTGAAATTAGGGCCGAAGCAGAAGTTGGTCGAAGGTTGCCGAACCGCTTCGGGCAAGGCATCACACTCGTATACGAAATGGCTCACGGATTCCTTGGGAGCAGAGCAAAAGCGGCAATTGGCATGGTCAACAAGCTCGGCTGCAGCAAGCCTGTCGGCTGTCAAAGTGCAACCTGTCACCGCACTTTCCCAAAAGAACAGGAAGGAAAAACCCTCATGAGGAATAGCAGCTAACCTCTTCTTAGCCGAAAGCGTCATCGTAGTGTCAAGGAAACCAACAGCCGTACTGATGTCTTTCCTTGGCATGAGGCAGGCAGTATGGTAGCATTTGTTTGCAGCCAAACTCTTCAGCAAACATTTCAGGTCAGGAACCGAGAAATCCAGAAAGTTGACAGGCGCAGACCCAAAAACCGAAAATTCAAAGGTGTGGACCCACTCAATATCCAGGATCTGGCAGGCCTGACTGAATTGTGTCATCCATGCTTGTGCAGTAAGTTGGTCTTGTTCAAAAAGCTGCGCCCATTGCTGCCGTGCAAACACGGAATATTGCAAGAAGCGAACCGATTCAGCAATTGTTGTGACCGCACGACAGAGGAATGGATCCAACTTGTGGGCCTTGTACACAATGCAAAGAAGGAGATGCTTCGACCGCCATCTAGGTCTGTCTTGCCACAAGGAGTCCGCCACAGCACTTTGTAGGCGGGCCAAGGCCCGCTTGGGGATAAAGTTCAAATGCGGCGCAAATGCAATCTGCGGCAACACTTTGGTGGCCAAGATCTGGGCTCGCTTGTAGCCGTCACAAGGCAAGGTGCGAATAACCTCACAATCTCTGAGAGCGGCCTGTATCTTGCTAGCAGGAAAGGAACCAACATTCTTCTTGGTCGTTTGCACAAAGGCTCCCAAGATGTTCACCACCTCAACAAGGCGCATTTCCGGAAACGCAGCTTTTAGTGCACGTCGGAGGTCTGGAGTGGTGGCAAAGACCTCACATTTGCTTGCATTGAGGAATTGGCCACAAAGAGAATCCCACAATTCAGTGGCTTTGACGGCGGAGACAAGACCCTCAATCGTAGGTTGCCGCGACCACAAGTATGTGTCATCAATGAAGGCACGGAAGTCCACTCCCTCAATATGCTCCATCAGCCAAGCCCAAATGGCCATATGGAGATTGATACAAAGAAGACTGAGCGAACAACCCTGCACGACGCCGTTTGGCGTGGAGATCGGAGCAGCTCTGGTCCATTGTTTGAAGGAAAGGAAACGCGTCATCCTCAAATAGAGGCATAGGAAAGCTCGCACGAAGCCCGTTGGAAGGCCCAATGCCAACATAATTGCAGCACAAAGCTTAGGCATCAAACGGTCAAAGCATTTCGACTTGTCGAGCTTCAAGGCTGCAAAGT